TGTACTACTCTAGGACGTTACCGATCATGGCTCCCAAACGGGAACTGTTACTATTACAAGCTGCAGTCTCTAGATTCATCTGGAGGGGAAAACATCCTAGGGTCAACAAGTCAACTCTATTTTCCCTAAAGAAGCATGGCGGTTTGGGACTTCCTAATCTCCTGGCCTATTTTCAGGCGGCTCAGATAGCACAGTTATCTTGCACCACGGCCAGGGGTTACATCCCCCGGTGGGTTGGCATTGAGGCCTTATCTTGCCATCCTTACGCTATTGGTGCTCTCATGTGGCTCCCCGGTCGATTGCATCCTCCTATTCTGTGTCCTACTTTGTTTTATTCATTAACAGTGTGGGATAGATGGCGGGCTCGCAAACCTTTCTTCTCCCCACATACCCCCTAGCTCCAGTTTTTTGCAATCCTGAGTTTATTCCTGGCCTATCACAGTCTGTGTTCCAATGGTGGATGAATAAGGGTTTGCTGCGTATCAGAGACTACTTGGATGGATTTCGTCCTCGTTCTCTCCAGTGTTTTTTGGCAAAGTACCAGATGCCTCCCGGGGAATTGTTTCGCTACTATCAACTTATCTCATTTATCTCTAGCAAACTCAAATTAATCATAGAACATTGCACACTCACTCCTTTAGAGGTCTCCTGTGGGGCAACTGGGATGATGAGGGGTCGTTTGTCCTTTAATTATGCTTCCCTTGTTGATCCACTCACTAAATTATCTTATATGACTCAATGGGAAAGTGATTTGAATAGCTCACTAGACCTGGATACTTGGCGGAATACGGCCCATGCTTTATCAAAGATTTCGATCAATACTGTTCTTATCGAATCCACTTATAAAACGCTACTTCACTGGTATCTGGTTCATACGCGCCTTGCTAAAATGTACCCTTTAGTATCACCTAGTTGCTTCCGACACTTCAGACAAGAGGGCACTATGTTCCATATCTGGTGGAAATGTCCAGTAGTGAATAGGTTTTGGATCCGAATGTTTAATTTCATCTATTCGGTAACAGGAATTAATATTCGTAGATCACCGGAAGTGGCCTTATTTCATTATTTACCTCTTACTGGCGGCTCGCATTACCATAGCTAGAAGTTGGAGACAATCACTGATTCCGCTAGACGGGATGTTAAACAAAAACGTAATTGGATAATGGTAAACGATAAACTTACAAGCATTGTCAAAAATTATGCTTCTAGATTTGAGGTGATGTGGGAACCATGGATCAGATATATTTCTATTACATAATAGTACTGCGGCTAACCCTCTCTCTCTCTCTCTCCCCCCCCCCTTTTTTTATTTTTTCTCTCTCTCCCCTCTCTCCCCCCTCTTTTCTGTCCTATCCTAGATCTTTTCTTATGATTTCTCTATTCTTAATCCTTTTTTCTTTCTGAACTGGTTATCATACTGTTGGTGAATTTCTTTGGCAATGCCTTTGTTCAATGACTGATGAAACATTTGCCACCTAGTGGGGATGATGTTCTCTGTATATACTGTAATGTCATTGACTAATATTTTTTTCATGTGCCTATATGGTCTGTAAATATGTTTATGCACACCATTTCACCATGTAGGTGAAAATTGTTTCTATTCTGTGTATACCACTGTATACCAATTTTTCAATAAAAAATATTGAAGTATAAACTTGTTTATTCAGTTTTTAACAGAACAGAGAATAACAATAAGAATACTTGTCAATTGCTATGAAGTATACAATCCTGTTAATTTCACAAGCCCAATCAGCCAATGAGGACATAGACGTTTGCAGCCAATGTCTAGCAATAACTAAGTGGGTTTCTGTAAGGAAATGTCGAATCAAGCTTTTCTTGATTTGTCTATAGGAGCCTGGCAACATAGAAAGAACAGTTATGTGAGGTTCATTCGGGAATTTTTCCCTCGCCAAGTTGTCATATAACTGTAGTATTTTATCCCAAAAAGGAGTAATACAGGGGCAAGTGCCCCAAATATGTGTCATGGTGCCAGGGGCCTGTGAACATCTCTAACATATATTCAGTATGGTAGATTCTATTTAGAGATGAGCGAATCGAAGTATCCGAAGTGGAATTCGAGTCGAATATCGGAAAAAATTTCGATTCGTGCCGAATCCGAAAAATAGCCTAATTCGGACGCGCGTATCGAAATTTTTCAGAAAATGGCGGCTGACATGTGCGGCGACGGAGCGGGGATGTCTGGGAAGGCGCGCAGACAAGGCGCGCTGACCCATAATGCATTCCTCAACTACATGTGATCGCATCAGCCAATCAGCAGCCAGCCAGCCAGCACTGTGTAATGGTCGAGCTATAAATAGCGGCCATTTTGGAATTCTTCATTTGCCTGCAGTCATTGAACAGAGGCAGACCGCTCTGTACTAGGGACAGGGACAGAGTTAGGGCCACAGAAACGATAATTGGGGACAGAGAAAAGTTACTTAGGGACAGAGAACCATTACTCAGGGGACACAGACTTGTTAATGAGGGCCACAGAATCGTTATTTAGGGACAAAGAAACGCTAGTTAGGGCCACAGAATTCATAATCAGGGACAGACAGAATTGTTACTCAGTGCCAGAGAATTGTTACTTAGGGCCACAGAAACGTTATTAGGGCCACAGAATTTTTACTCAGGGACAGACAGAATTGTTTACTGAGTGCCAGAGAATTGTTACTCAGGGACAGACAGAATTGTTACTGAGTGCCAGAGAATTGTTACTTAGGGCCACAGAAACTTTAATTAGGGCCACAGAATTTTTACTCAGGGACAGACAGAATTGTTACTGAGTGCCAGAGAATTGTTACTCAGGGACAGACAGAATTGTTACTGAGTGCCAGAGAATTGTTACTTAGGGCCACAGAAACTTTACTTAGGGCCACAGAATTTTTACTCAGGGACAGACAGAATTGTTACTGAGTGCCAGAGAATTGTTACTCAGGGACAGACAGAATTGTTACTGAGTGCCAGATAATTGTTACTCAGGGCCCCAGAAACTTTACTTAGGGCCACAGAATTTTTACTCAGGGACAGACAGAATTGTTACTGAGTGCCAGAGAATTGTTACTCAGGGACAGACAGAATTGTTACTGAGTGCCAGAATTGTTACTTAGGGCCACAGAAACTTTACTTAGGGCCACAGAATTGTTACTCGCACAGACACAGAATTGTTACTCGCACAGACACAGAACTGTTACTGAGGGCCACAGAACTGTTACTTAGGGCCACAGAATTGTTACTCGCACAGACACAGAATTGTTACTCAGGGCCACAGAACTGTTACTTAGGGACAAAGAAACGCTAGTTAGGGCCACAGAATTCATACTCAGGGACAGACAGAATTGTTACGGAGTGCCAGAGAATTGTTACTCAGGGCCACAGAAACTTTACTTAGGGCCACAGAATTTTTACTCAGGGACAGACAGAATTGTTACTGAGTGCCAGAGAATTGTTACTCAGGGACAGACAGAATTGTTACGGAGTGCCAGAGAATTGTTACTCAGGGACAGACAGAATTGTTACTGAGAGTGCCACAGAAATTGTTACTTAGGGCCACAGAAACTTTAATTAGGGCCACAGAATTTTTACTCAGGGACAGACAGAATTGTTACTGAGTGCCAGAGAAATTGTTACTCAGGGACAGACAGAATTGTTACGGAGTGCCAGAGAATTGTTACTAGGGCCACAGAAACTTTACTTAGGGCCACAGAATTTTTACTCAGGGACAGACAGAATTGTTACTGAGTGCAGAGAATTGTTACTCAGGGACAGACAGAATTGTTACGGAGGTGCCAGAGAATTGTTACTCAGGGCCACAGAAACTTTACTTAGGGCCACAGAATTTTTACTCAGGGACAGACAGAATTGTTACTGAGTGCCAGAGAATTGTTACTCAGGGACAGACAGAATTGTTACTGAGTGCCAGATAATTGTTACTCAGGGCCACAGAAACTTTACTTAGGGCCACAGAATTTTTACTCAGGGACAGACAGAATTGTTACTGAGTGCCAGAGAATTGTTACTCGGACAGACAGAATTGTTACTGAGTGCCAGAGAATTGTTACTTAGGGCCACAGAAACTTTACTTAGGGCCACAGAATTGTTACTCGCACAGACACAGAATTGTTACTCGCACAGACACAGAACTGTTACTGAGGGCCACAGAAAACTTTACTTAGGGCCACAGAATTGTTTACTCGCACAGACACAGAATTGTTACTCGCACAGACACAGAATGTTACTGAGGGCCACAGAACTGTTACTTAGGGCCACAGAATTGTTACTCGCACAGACACAGAATTGTTACTCAGGGCCACAGAAATTGTTACTTAGGGACAAAGAAACGCTAGTACTTAGGGCCACAGAATTCATACTCAGGGGACAGACAGAATTGTTACTGAGTGGCAGCCAGAGAATTTGTTACTCAGGGCCACAGAAAAATTGTTACTTAGGGCCAGAAACAGAATTTTTACTCAGGGACAGACAGAATTGTTACTGAGTGCCAGAGAATTGTTACTCAGGGACAGACAGAATTGTTACAGAGTGCCAGAGAATTGTTACTCAGGGACAGACAGAATTGTTACTGAGTGCCAGAGAATTGTTACTTAGGGCCACAGAAAACTTTTAATTAGGGCCACAGAATTTTTACTCAGGGACAGACAGAATTGTTACTGAGTGCCAGAGAATTGTTACTCAGGGACACAGACAGAATTGTTACGGAGTGCCAGAGAAATTGTTACTCAGGGCCACAGAAACTTTACTTAGGGCCACAGAATTTTTACTCAGGGACAGACAGAATTGTTACTGAGTGCCAGAGAATTGTTACTCAGGGACAGACAGAATTGTTACGGAGTGCCAGAGAATTGTTACTCAGGGCCACAGAAACTTTACTTAGGGCCACAGAATTTTTACTCAGGGACAGACAGAATTGTTACTGAGTGCCAGAGAATTGTTACTCAGGGACAGACAGAATTGTTACGGAGTGCCAGAGAATTGTTACTCAGGGGCCACAGAAACTTTACTTAGGGCCACAGAATTTTTACTCAGGGACAGACAGAATTGTTACTGAGTGCCAGAGAATTGTTACTCAGGGACAGACAGAATTGTTACTGAGTGCCAGAGAATTGTTACTCAGGGCCACAGAAACTTTACTTAGGGCCACAGAATTGTTACTCAGGGACAGACAGAATTGTTACTGAGTGACAGAGAATTGTTACTTAGGGCCACAGAAAACTTTAGTTAGGGCCACAGAATTGTTACTCAGGGACAGACACAGAATTGTTACTGAGGGCACAGAACTGTTACTTAGGGCCACAGAATTGTTACTCGCACAGACACAGAATTGTTACTCAGGGACACAGAATTGTTACTCAGGGACACATAATCGTTTAATTAAAGAGTATGTCAGACAACATGCAGTAGAGGAGTGGCAGAGGAGGCATGTTTTAGGAGCGAGCAGACGTGGCAGCAGAGGAAGGGGTCGAGGCAGCACTATTCGCAGCCAGAGGCCAGTGCTCCCGGTGTCATCCAGCGGTCGTGTCTCCACCGACAACCCTGCCGTCATCGATTGGTTGGCTCGGTCGTCTTCCTCTTCCCAGGTCACCTCTGACACCTACAGCCAACGGTCGGTGGGTACGTCAGACACAACCGTTAGTTGGCATGGCCCGGGACCAAGCCCACTGAAATCACGTGTCCTCTACCTGCCCCTGTCCTTTGGTGTTCCCTCACCAAGCGAAGTATCGCATGCTGTGGGCTCAGCCCCACTGTACAGTGAGGAAGAGCTAACAGAGGGCGGTCAGGAAACGGGGGGGGAGACATCCGCCTTTTCAGCAGCCAGGCGAAGAAGTAGTGGCGAGAGGAGAGTGGCCCGGTAGCCGTCTAGAGACAGGTCTGTCTCCTGACCCAGACGCAGCCGAGGGGGCTAGTAGTGAGGCGGAGACCCTACTTGATGATGAGGAGGTTGATCGCACTTGGCAGCCTCGTCGTCATCAGGCAATTTCTTTCCGCATCATCAGGAGAAGAGGGTGGCAGCTTGGCAGTGAGCGAAACAGTCGGTGGGTTGCCCAGGAGACAGCAGCAGGGTCGCAGCAGTGTCAGTGGAAGCAGTGTCAGTGGAGCCAAACGGCCACGGAGTAGAGCACCAGCACCAGCTCCACTGCCACAGCCTACCACCACGGCCAGTAGTGGTGCCGGTGTGCACGGAGGAAGCAGCAGTCAGCCAGTGAGGAGTATCGGGGGCAAAGTTTCCTACTCGGCGGTGTGGCAATTTTTTTTTCGTCAAGCCGCCCGAGGAAGTAAACGTAGCCGTATGTCGACTATGTGGCCAGAAAGTCAAGCGTGGCCAGGGGGCCATGTTGGGACTACAGCGTTGCGGCAGCATATGCAGCGTCGCCATTTGGTGGCCTGGGAAAACCGTGATAAAGATACGGCGGTTCTGCCCGCCCCAGCCCCCGCTCCATCACCCGCTCCGTTACTTGCTCCGTCACCCGACGTCAATCGCCCTCCATCAGCCAGTCAAGGCTCCAACACCTCTGCTGAGGGGAGTTGTCGCTCGTTGGCATCTTCCGCTCGTTCAGATGCTCCTTCTCCTGCTACTCCTCTTCACGGATTCCGTCAGCAGTCTTTCTTGGAATCCGTTTCCAAGAGACAACAGTTTGCGAGCACGCACCCGACGGTGCAAAAGCTGAACGTCCTCCTGTCCAAGTTGCTGGTGCTGCAGTCCCTCCCTTTCCAAGTGGTGGACTCAGCACCTTTCCGAGAAATGATGGCTTGTGCCGCGCCGCGGTGGAGAGTGCCAAGCCGTCATTTCTTCGCCAAAAAGGCAGTGCCAGCCCTGCATTCACATGTAGAAGACATGGTGGGCCAGTCTTTGAGCATGTCGGTCTCTGCCAAAGTGCACGGCAGCGCCGACGTGTGGAGCTGTAACTACGGTCAGGGACAGTACATGTCATTTACGGCCCACTGGGTGAACGTGGTGCCGTCACAGCCGCACCAGCAACTTGGACAGGTCACGCCGCTTTTGCCTCCACGTTTGCACGTCCTTGGTCCGGCAAAGATGTCCGCCTCTACCACCTCTTCTTCCGCCGTGTCCTCAGCCGCCACCCCCGTGCCAAGTCCCATTACCCGACCCGGCATATCACATGTGCAGGGCGCAACGGTGTCACGCTGTTCTGCACCTGGTATGCCTTGGCGAACGTAGTCACACAGGGGAGGAACTTCTGAGTGTAATGAACAGAGAAATCGACAGATGGCTGTCTCCGCGCAAACTGAAAATCGGAACCATGTTGACCGACAACGGAAAGAACATGGTGTCTGCTCTGCGTCAAGGAAGGTTGTGCCATGCGCCATGCATGGCTCACGTGTTCAATCTGGTTGTCAAGCGGTTCCTAAAATCCACCATCCCACTGCAAGACATCCTTAAAATGTCACGTAAACTTTGCATGCATTTCAGCCATTCCTACACCGCAAAGCACACCCTCCTTGAGCTGCAGCAGCGGCAGAACGGAATTCCACAGCATCGCCTGATCTGCGACGTTGCAACAAGGTGGAATTCAACCCTACACATGTTAGACCGCCTTTACGAACAGCGAAAGGCCATCACCGATTTCCTGATGTTACAAGCGGATAAAGGTACTCCCCTGTGTAACTTCGATGTCAGCCATTGGCAGCTCATGCGTGACACCTGCCGCTTGCTCAGGCCCTTTGAGGAGGCCACGCTATTCGTGAGTCGGCAGGACTATGGGATGAACGACGTCATTCCTCTGTTGCACGTCCTGAACAAATGCTGTTAACAATGGCTGGTCAGGGTGCGGTAGACGTGGCGCACAGATCTCAACGCCACATGACCCCTGTGGGGGCAGGACAGGAAGAAGAGGAGGAGGTAGAGGAGGACATTTGTGCTCAGGAATTATTGAGTGAAATGGGTGGTTTTTTTTCCACTCAGCGGACAGGAGTGGAGGAGCAGGAGCATCTGGTAGAGGAGGAGGAGGAGGAGACAGAGGACCCAGACGCACCGTGGCAGTATGCTGTGGGAGATGGAGGCAGGGAGTCCCTCGCATTCCTTGGCACAAATGGCCCATAGCATGCTCGGTTGCTTGCGTAGCGACAGCCGAATAATAACCATCAGACAGAGGGATGACTTTTGGCTGTCCACCTTGTTGGACCCTCGCTACCGTTCAAAAATGGTGGCCTTTTTCACACCTGCTGAGAGGGAGGCCAAATAACGTACTATAAAAAAACCACCTATGTAGTCAGTTGGTCTCTGCCTTTGTGCGCCAACGTCCATCCTCAGACACTGTGGGCCCTGTGCGCTCGCGTTCCGCTGCCATGGCAGCAGGGGAGGGGTGGGGTGGTGGTAGGAGCAGTGGCAGCTCCACCAGCAGCGGCTGCCTCAGTCTGCAGTCGATGATGAGTAGCTTTCTTCACCAGCGCAGTGAGGAAACTACTAACCAGCCGCAGCAGCAGCAGCAGCAGCAGCAGCATCAGGTGGACCTGGAGCAGGACCTCAAACAACAGGCTTGGGCCTACTTGGACAGCACCCTGCCAACCGAGGTAGACAATCCCCTTGACTACTGGGCAACGAAACTTGACCTTTGGCCCCAACTAGCTGAATTTGCCCCTTGAAAGGCTGTCATGCCCGGGCCAGTAGCGTGGCATCGGAGCGCGTGTTTTAGTGCGGCAGGAGGTATTGTAACTCCGCGGAGGACACGACTGTCCACCCAAAGTGTGGAGAGACTCACGTTTGTGAAAATGAATCAGGCGTGGATTAGTCTGGATTTCAAACCACCAGTTCCTGACACAACTGACTAAATCCGCCATGAATCATGCCTCAAACATGTGCCACTTTCAGGTCTCCTCACACACTGCTGGTGTGTTGAATTTTTTGACATAGGGTGCTGGCAGATTACGGGCCTCCCATAGCTGCTGCCAGGCCCCTAATCTGCCATAGGCCCCCCTATATACCGCCTCCTCATGCTGCTGCCAGGTCCAGAGTCTCTCATGGGTCCCTGTACGGCCTCCTCCCATTGCTGCTGTCTCCATCGCCACACTCTGCCATGTGCCACTTTCAGGTCTCCTCACACACTGCTGGTGTGTGTTCAATTTTTTGACATAGGGTGCTGGCAGATTACGGGCCTCCCATAGCTGCTGCCAGGCCCCTAATCTGCCATAGGGCCCCTATATACCGCCTCCTCATGCTGCTGCCAGGTCCAGAGTCTCTCATGGGTCCCTGTACGGCCTCCCATTGCTGCTGTCTCCATCGCCACACTCTGCCATGTGCCACTTTCAGGTCTCCTCACACTGCTGGTGTGTAGAATTTTTTGACATAGGGTGCTGGCAGATTACGGGCCTCCCATAGCTGCTGCCAGGCCCCTAATCTGCCATGGGCCCCTATATACCGCCTCCTCATGCTGCTGCCAGGTCCAGAGTCTCTCATGGGTCCCTGTACGGCCTCCCATTGCTGCTGTCTCCATCGCCACACTCTGCCATGTGCCACTTTCAGGTCTCCTCACACTGCTGGTGTGTAGAATTTTTTGACATAGGGTGCTGGCAGATTACGGGCCCTCCTATAGCTGCTGCCAGGCCCCTAATCTGCCATAGGCCCCTATATACCGCCTCCTCATGCTGCTGCCAGGTCCAGAGTCTCTCATGGGTCCCTGTACGGCCTCCCATTGCTGCTGTCTCCATCGCCACACTCTGCCATGTGCCACTTTCAGGTCTCCTCACACACTGCTGGTGTGTAGAATTTTTTTTTGACATAGGGTGCTGGCAGATTACGGGCCTCCCATAGCTGCTGCCAGGCCCCTAATCTGCCATAGGCCCCTATATACCGCCTCCTCATGCTGCTGCCAGGTCCAGAGTCTCTCATGGGTCCCTGTACGGCCTCCCATTGCTGCTGTCTCCATCGCCACACTCTGCCATGTGCCACTTTCAGGTCTCCTCACACACTGCTGGTGTGTAGAATTTTTTGACATAGGGTGCTGGCAGATTACGGGCCTCCCATATAGCTGCTGCCAGGCCCCTAATCTGCCATGGGCCCCTATATACCGCCTCCTCATGCTGCTGCCAGGTCCAGAGTCTCTCATGGGTCCCTGTACGGCCTCCCATTGCTGCTGTCTCCATCGCCACACTCTGCCATGTGCCACTTTCAGGTCTCCTCACACACTGCTGGTGTGTTGAATTTTTTGACATAGGGTGCTGGCAGATTACGGGCCTCCCATAGCTGCTGCCAGGCCCCTAATCTGCCATAGGGCCCCTATATACCGCCTCATGCTGCTGCCAGGTCCAGAGTCTCTCATGGG